AGAGACCTTAGTTCAGTGCCTCGTAATTTGGTGTGAACTAACAGGAAAAATCACACAAGAGGAGCTATGTGGGAACAAACTTTGCTAACGGTAATTCGACCGGTCGATAGGTTTCAGTTGCGACCAAGCAAAAGCCGCTAATACGCGCCTAGCTAAGAAGTCATTTGTGCTGCACAAAATTGATGTGTGGCTCAATGGTTAGAATAAAAATGTCAACTGTATTTCAGTTTCACTGTTGGAGCCTAAAGCCACCATATATCTAGGTCATGTAAGGAGTTTGAACGGTTTCATTTATACAAATATTAGTGGTCGATGGCAGTTTGCTGAAACTTACAACACCAGTACCGAACGTCAAAAAGTGAATGGCAATCTGAATAGTAATGCAAAAGGAGGGAAGGCCAAAACATAGCCAAGAGCGCTAAAATCTGCAATACCTCCGAGCGGATGATTTCCCATACATTTTTGAAATAAGTAGATCAAGTCAGATCGAATTGCTAGAAACGTTGCCACAGGAGGGAGGAACCGATATTATAATGATTTGAACGAAAATCTACAGATGTATGCTTACTAGCAACCGGCGGCTAAGAAGGTGGCTTTCAACCCGGTGGACAGTCCGAAAGTTATGGCTTTGAGAGATGAATAGTCCGCGGCCCGACGCTGGAATACAGAACCATAAAACCGGAACTGGTGGATAGAGGAGTACTGAATACTGAATGATTCGAAGAGAAAATCTGAACTATGGGACGAGAATCAGGGAACAGGAGTGGCCTTTTTGTGACACGTGAAGAAGCACAGTGACGTTAACTTGACATGGTGCAACGAGATTTATTCGTACAGCTGAGCAGCATTTGAAACAAACGCAACAGCGATTGGGTTTAGGGTCGATATCTAGCTGCAGCGAATGAAAGTCCGTCTAGCAGTGGAGAGCATAGCGTACCTCGGAGCGACGACTTATATACCTCTGGATCTTTCAAGCCATACTGAGGTGTCCAGAGTCGATCAATGCTGAAGTCCGACAGACACCATTTTGGCCACCGCGGGTCAAAATTCTTCAGGGTTCATGGGCGATACACTGACCTGAATGCCTCCGTTCGCGTTCACTCCGGACGTATCTGTGCCCGGGGGAATATGGTAGTACGTCATGCTTCAGGTTGCTCGGTTATCATACAATGAGTTCTACATGTCTCCTCTCCCAAACATTTCTTACGGATAAATAGTTTCTTCCAGTAGATAACTGAACTGCAATCCTAGCTTATGGAGGGAACTAATCTGTTGACGTAATCGCCGAGACCTGAGGAACAATCCGTTTTGACGCCTGATCACGTGGAGCGAGTCTGCCGAGCGATTCGGATGCTATGCTAACTCCAGGTTACAAAACACATCAAGTTCTCAAGAACACTAACGTGGCCCTTGATGTACATACGGGGTACCAAACGTGTTGATGTGTACAGAGAGCTTCCTGACTACGGAAGCCACAGGATAGCGATGATAAAGGGGATTGAAGTTTGCGACCAGCGTCCAACATAACCACCAACTGCGTGAATGAGTTTGAGAAGGTATCAGACCATACAAAACTCATTTGAACACTGCCATGCTCCCCAAGGTCATATAATGTCGAAGTATTTTGTGGGGAAATCGACAAGGTTCATCGCTTGTCACTAATTTGGACAGAATAGGTTCCTCTCATCCAAAATTGACGACAACTTATCTTTTACTACTAAGTTCTGATGTGTGTGTAAGATTAAATGATAGCAATGCTTCGTACCTTTGCTATCTCACGTGTTCTCCATGCAGTGAGCCGATTTGCCCGAACAAATTCGTCGTAAGCGGTTAGCAAGCGGGCGAATCCTACACCAACTCCCACGATACAGCCAATGGCCAGGGGCAGTCGGATGGCTCTGGAACCAGTTTTGCTTAGGTCCGTGTCGCTCAACGTGGGACTGAAAAAATGTTACAAGACAGTAAACAGCAGTGCCATGTACTGGTGAAATGTTTGTTTAAGCCGGATGCTAAAGTTGTGCAGCACTTTTGTAGAATTAAAGCCAGTCAAAGGAAAGCCGAAAAATGGTTGCTGCTTCAGAACAAACAAAAGCACATGCTAAGCCGTTAAAAGGAATTGTCCAGAGGAAACATTCCATTCATATGATTGGTGAAAACTCGACAGCCCCCGACCGGTTCCACCCCTTTTGGGACTCATCCCCGAGTTTTCGTCAACCTTAAGTTCCACCTAAATTGAAATTATACGCAATTCACGAAATACAGTCAGTTGCATACAAATCTGATTTTAACGAAAAACGCAGCTGAATCACAGCGGAACCTATCGTTCATCAAGTTCTTCAACGTATGTGCTGCGCAAAGGCCGCCTTATGTTTCATTTGGCTACGTACGTTTTCTGCGGCGTTACGGATCGTTCAGAACAAAATGTATGTGAGGGATTTCCTGACAGGTTCATTGGAAACATCAAATGGCATACCACAAGAACTTCTCTTAATTTGTCCTAGACCATCTGAGAAGAGTAAACTGAAGTGGACATCACCTCGCCCACTAGCTCAGCACTGAGGTATTAACCCAGCAATTCATGCATCAACCTCTCACGTCATATTCTGATGTTTGTTTCTTAAATGTAAAGTGCGATTGTGACCTTATGAACGACATAATCATTTGTAGAGGGCCCATGATGAAAAGTGATAAATCTGGTGAAGTCGAAAAAGTGTGTTACAGTCTAAAAATGAATCGCATACAGGTGAAAGGAAGAAGGCCTTCGCTGCGGAGTATTTATTAGAAAATGCCAACTGACCAGTTACAGACTATTGGACAGGGAGGTAACTCTCATATACATCTTATTTACAAAAAGTGAACATCCATCTTCTCTTGAACGCGTCTTCCTGAACTTTCCTGGATATTCATTGACTGTTGCTCAAATCCAAGCAAATTCTACAAAGCGACTCCATAAATTCCGCAATGGATCTCCCTTCTCAAGAGACGCAATGCGAATTTACAAGAAAACATGCTACTCACATGCCTCTTCCACCAGAAGTATCACCGTTACACAGGTAACACATGCTAGGTAGTAACTCATCATAGCACCTTACCAGCCTTCATTGTTGTGGATATATCTTAATACAGCACTTGATTGCAGGGAGATTTTGCAACTGGCACTGCAGTGTTGCCATTCATTTGATGAAGTAGGTAAGTTTCGTGGCTACACTGACCTCCTTGGATTTGTTGGTCCATGCAGGTGTCCAATCATATCCTTACTTTTCTACTCACCGTGCAGATGACGCGATAAATTCAGTGACTTTATCCCGTACCTCCAGATCGTGGTTTCAGAATCAACCATCATACAGAAATAGCAAGTAATGTCAACAAACTATTGTGGCTGAAAAGAGCATACGTGAAACCAGAAGTTAATCGATGCAGCCTTGTCGTATTTCGTCATACTATTGAATTGGCCTGAAGGTATCAATAGAAACCCTTGAAAAAAGTTTATAATACTGCTATCAGGTGACAAAAAGAGAAGAACAATAAACACTTGGACCATTTCAGTAAAACTGATGGAGAAAAGTACTCCTTGAATGGGGACTCCACTGGAATTCATCTTTACCACCATGGTACGCCCCACATCTTCGTGTATATTGACAGTAGAGACTGAATGAAACAATGTTCTTTTTGCGATGTTCCAATCTACACTACTGCCAGTATTGTACCAGGAACCATACAACCCATGCGGATTCGTGCTCGAGTTACTATTCGTGTTTCTTCATTATGTTTCCGTCATTTTCAGGCCAGTCCTCAACTCTTCGTCTATGCATGAACCCCAGTTTCTTCTCAAAAACGTATGATGCTTAAGTTACCTTTGCACCGACAATCAAACTACAGCGTTTCCCAACCTTAATTAAAATGTAAACATGTGTAAGTCGTTTTACTTTTACACAATCTGCGGTACACTCCAAATAAGCATGTTCACGCAGGTGACAAAACAGAGAAGCATAAACAGGGCCGTGAAACAGTGCCCGGCTGCTGCCATCTTATGACTCATGTCCCAACCGAATCATGTGTTACGATGAGTTAAAAACGAAGCTCCGGGTATTCGGAGTTTCCGGCAACAGATTAATTTATACAGTTGAATCCATCTCCAAAGAGTTCTAATTAAAAATGTTCTATCTCGGAGGTGAATTCAGAAACTTAGTGTGTGTCACTCATCCTCCCTTCGGAGACGGTAGCGCTTCTGAAGATGGTGAAGGCCTTGCACAAACCACAATCGTATAAATGCTCCGTAGGGAGGAGTTCAACTAGTTATATACACCGCACTACTGCTTAGTCCTGCTTGCTTTCAATTCAAGGACCGATGGATCTAAGTTCCTTTACATTCGAATCAATCAGCCGATGAACCATTGTATTATATATTACATATATTATCACCTAAGAATAAGATATTCTCTCCGTAAATGGCAGCCCCTGATTCGAACGTTGCGTGTTCATTGTTGATGCAGGTTGCATATTATCTGAAATCACTTGAGGAAGAACAGATAATGCTTACTCCGAATTGAATAACTGCCGAATTCTTGTCCAGGGTGTTGAGCTGGATATAATTTCCTCGACTGGTTTGGAAACACCGAATAACCTTGGTCCAGTGAGTTCCTCAACAAGGCCATGTTGCATAATCACATCACGGTTTTTCAGGTCAGATTCAATTTCAATGGCAGTCTTTCCCAATAAGTCGCTATCATCTTCCGGTATTTCCATCTGGTATTGTGTGCAGAGAAGCACGAAACAAGTGGCTACAAAAAATGGAGAAGGCTTAAACCAAGCTAAGAAAAGGAATAGTACAAGGACATCATTATTATCCTTGTTATATTACCATGCATATCACAGTATTATGGTATATCTTGTTGCGCTGTATAAAACGTGTATAAATATATAAAATATAATGTTGTTATATCATATTACTAATAATAACACCATTCCCACCGACTGCAAGGGAAAAAACATTGACGTTTTTCCACAGCGTGTAGAACGCAACTAAGCCTGTTTGTTTCTTTCGTCCATCTCTATGTTCGCCAACTAGTGGGAAGTTTCTGGAGTGATAGTCACACCTTGTGCTACCAAAAGACACCGTCCCAACTCGGGGCCACTAGTCTAGCTGAGAATGAGGTTTCTGCTGTGAACCTTCTCGGGGCACCGCCAGAAATATTCGACAGCTTGCTTAAAATCCAAAAAGACCAGTTACCTGCCTAATGCCTAGAATCCTGGAAAACTGAGATGACAGGGTCTGGTGGTGCTTTTGTTTCAACCGACTGGGCATTACTGTGCTAGAAGGTTTCTGAGACGAAACGCTTGGACCTACGAAACTACTTCTCTGGTAGTTATGAGTGTGTACACTGTGAACAAACTGTGTTTTGGGGATTCATTCTGCTGCCATTTCTTCGCTGCGGACAGGATCTCGAAAGGAGTGCAATATGCGGTGGGATTTGTTTTCATTCTCATGTGGTTTTCAATGACTCGCAGATGACTGACTGTATCGTTAGCGAACGCAATATGACGGTAGCCGTCGCTCCGTCAACTTTTATTGTACCCGTAAGGCCCTCGAACAAGATATACATCGCACTTTGAACTGATTGCGCACGCCCCTCCGAAATTCCCACCATATCTATCACACAGAATCACAAAACTGAATTTCGAAACCTCCTAAGAGGAAGAGTAACGTGCCTTTTTAAATAGGAACCACTTCACACAAAAAGCTACACAGTCCCGTACCCGACTCAAATTCGGACAGGGATGAAATTCTGGACAGGTACAACACCAATGACTCTAAAAATTCGTTGGAACTGCAGTTGACAAATGAGGAGAAATTTTAGACGTAATACACTACTCATAAGGTCCTTCTTGGGGCCCATCAGGTTCGCTCAGTCTCCGAGTTTCCGTCAACCTTATGTCCTACTTGAACCAAAATTTTTCGGAATTGGGGAAATCCACTCACTTGCAAACAAATTTCGTTTTACGGAAGATCCACCTGGATTCAGTTGGGTTCCGGGTGCGTCTCTCGCAAAACCAAATTTGTTTGCAAATGATTGAGAAGTGGTGTTTTTAGGGGAGAGGACGTAGGTGGCAATGTGGATGGCAAATGTGTGTCTAAAGTGCAATGAAAACTAGTGTAAATTTTAGGGACAATTTGACTTCCATGTGCAATTTAAGGGCGCAATGTTTCAATCGTAACACAAAAGTTATTACTGCGATATTAAGCTTATCAGTAACCCAAAGGCGAGCGCCAATTTCAGGTAGTTTCGCGTGTTGGTGGCTAGAACAGCCGGTGTAGGTGGAGCAGAATCTGTGCGGCCACATGGACGAATGAAGTTGATTAATCATCAAGGAACAGAGGCGTAGCAGGCATGGGCTCAAACACAGCGGAAGGCGATAAAAAATAGCCATTGTTGTGACATGAATGAAGCTAAAAACCTAGAAGAGTTACACCATGGAGCAGGGCGAACAGTGGGAATACACATATAATTGGATTGCCAGGTCAATTCTTTTTCGGCACATCGAGTTAGATTACAGCGATGTATTTCGGATGCCTCAGTAGCATTGAGTTTCGCTCTAATCAGAAACAAAAACACTTCAATAGTGGTCGTTGGGTCTACCACTAAAAGATGCTTTGTAAGAGTTGATCTAAGACAGCGTACTCTGCTCAGGTAAGCCCATTCGGTACGCGCACCCTATTCCGATCCCCGGGCATCTCTACCGATTTATCTGGATCCGCAGATAATCGAATTGCAGAACCATATATCAAAGCGCTACAAACAGACATAATTCCACATGTTGTCCATTCCTAAGCTTACCCAGATACTGAATCTCGGAGTCTAACAGTACAACAGACCAGTTATTGTGAAAACAAAAACTAAACAGACGATAGAAACGAGAAACTTGGTGCTCCGGGAACTTCACAAACATGCTGCCAAATTTCTTGACGTGGCTCTTAACGGACACAGAAAGGGGCCTTGTCTTTCAGATTAAAATTCTGCATATTACCAAGCACCGCTCAACCAATAAACACCGGAACCCGGGTTGAGTACTTGTATGAACAGATCAAGCGACTGCTAACCACATTCATCAGCGGTGTCAGTTGGTCAAAATTGTATGCAGTTACCCGGTGGGTACCCTTTTTTACTCAGCAAAGAACGTTCTATGGCTGACAGAAAACAACAACGTACCATCGGATAAGGGACGTAGCGTTGTCCTACAAAACTGAACGGATTGCCACGAAATGACGTGAATTTTGTCGGACCACAGAATTCCTGGCTAGTGATGTGCACACAAACACTACGAGAGAGGTGGAGCGTAAAATAGTTTAAGGAGCGGAGTACAGGGTTCCACTGCATCACTTACCAAAAGCACAGGTGTTCTGCATCCCTGTGCTCCATACCTTCCATGTCTGGGTTTCCATACGGTAGACTTGCCCAAAGTTTCATTCATAAATTTGAGCTAGTGGGACCTGGCTGTGCACAGCCACACAGACACCATCCAACTTGTGGACTTAGTGCAAAGCTACTCGCAAAGTTGCTCGTAAAACTCTTCGACAGTACACCATCGGTTCCTCCCTTTTTGGGGCTCGTCAGGTAGGAGCAGTCCCCGAGTTTCCGTCAACCTTATGTTCTACTTGGACCCAAATTGCATGAGATTAGCGAACTACACTTATTTGCATAACCATTTGGTTCTAACTTAAACGAGAGATTCGGGTGGGTTCCAGGTGAGTCCCCGTCGAAACCGAATTGATGTGCAGATGAGTGCAATTCTCTTGATGTGCTTTTGCCTAAGCAGCACTGCAGGCCGATATTTCGCAACATCTACAGGAAACCACTTAAACACTTCAGAAGCTCCCCCCACTGAACAAAAGAGATGCCTATTGAAGAACCTACTTATTCCACAAGACTTACTGCCTCACCATATCTGACAATAGTAAACAGCAACCGCGATTATTTGAGAGAACGATTGGTCATTGAGTTTCGCACAGAAGTACAGCAGCCCTCAGTCTACGTGTGGCAAATTTTCAACTGCTTCCAGAATGTCAGTCTGATTGTCGTTACTGTTATGGGAGGCGACTTGCCTTCTTTGCTTAGATACCATTTAGCTGCAGCGAACAAACGTATCTGCAGTGCTGCCCAATAAATTTTTTTTCTTCAGGAAATCAAGCGAATTCCCGTCCCACTTAAGGAGGATCTCGGTCACTAAATCTACACCGATCCAATAGTTTGATTGTACCTGCGGACCCAGGTACAACAGCACAACTACGATGTATCAGAGGACACAAAGCTGACGATAGGTGACGAAATGGCCTGTCAGAGCTGAGTCGTGCTGTCCTAAAGCAGCTGTCACGAAGTGAGCATACTGTAGACCCAACAGTGGTGTCCCCAGAAATCAGAGGAAAAAATCTAGTTCACTCTGCGGAATATCAGCGTGTCAATATAAAATCACGAGTCTTCAGTACACCACAAAAAACACTGTTCGCCACTCTGCATACTTCGTTGGAGCTTAGACTGTGCTCGCCTGTGACCGCTCTATTAACTAATCAGCTGTGCGGCGCTTGGAATCAGTCGGTTTCTTCGAAGTCGCACAGACTGTTTGAAACTGCGGTACTGACTAAAACAACGAAGCATTGCTGGTTGGATAATCGAAGCCTGAGGTTGTCTGCAGTGAAAAGCTCCGAACAGCGGTTCCTCCAAATGTTTTCGATTATTGGTCGACAGTGTTGTCAGCTTGTAGGGGCGTTGATCTTCTCACCCCCCTCCCCCGATTCTACGTTGCCCGGTAAACCCACATCAACGATGACTAATACAGCCCAATCACAGGAACTGATTACTACCGAGGCATTCGAAGTGCATCGCCGCAATCCTCGTTTACGTGTGGAAAAACAACTGACCAACGTTTCCTTGACTTGGCAATCCAATTCTATTATTATTACTATAATTACTGTTCACAACGTTCCATCACGTAGGTCTTCCAGAATGTCAACTTTATTCGTGTGAAGGCAATGACTACTTTCTAACTTTTAGGGCCACGATAGCATGCTCAGCACACTTTCATCTTCCTCCATTAAACCACTTTGACGGCCGTTGATGTCCTCGTTGAGCTGGGAAATTTGGTTGCAAAGTTTTCATCACCAGTCCGGATTGCACAAACTGACCAAATACCGTTACAATAGCGACCAATTTGTGGACCACAAGAAAGGTTTCAAAATAACTCTGTTCAAGAGAGCGGAGACACACTGAAGAATTCAATCGGAAGGGGGAAATCATCTCTATCGCGCATTCCCTTTATTAGAAGCATGAGAACACACGCCCCGACAGGGACAGCAAGATCAGCCAAGTAAACGGATAGTCCCTTCAAGAACATATCTGAATTCACAGCAAGGCTACTACAACTGAAGGGAATATTAGAAGTCCACAAACCAGTTACTACAGTGAGGAAACTGATATCGAGACCGAATGAAAAAAACGATACAGGCACAAGAAATGATGTCGTGTACTGAACCAACTGTATAGGCTTCAACAAGGAGTATATTGGACAGACTAGAGGAAAATCATTTACGCGGGAAAATGAATAGAACACAACTACCAGATGGTCCAAAATCTCTTATTTACGTGAAGATCAGGAAGGCCACAAGTGTAGTCTAAAAAACGTGATGATTGTGGCACGTGAAAGTATAAGCCACGAGAGGGAATCCTCAGAAGCATGGTACTTCGCAAATGATTTAATCAACCAGTATATGGATATTGACCGTCTACGTACCGCTACTAGCGAGTGACCGGCAACAGTGGTAACACTGTCATTCTCAGCCATCAGATAACGGACTAAGAAACGGGACACAAAGTGGAGGTAGACAAAATAGGGACACGGCGGAGGTACCAGAGCGATTAAGTACCAAGGCCATCCGAGCATCCACCAATCAAAAGACGGGTGAACCAACAAGCTAATACAAATGCTCACCCAAATGACCAATGGTCGGTCAAGGTAAAAGTCGGTTAGTAGATCCTATAGCGATCCATACAACAACCACGCACTTCCACTCACAACCCACTAACGATGCCACCCCGACTGGTGACGAAACGTTCACCACCAAGTTACCCAGCTCAGCGAACAAACAACGATCACAATTATAGACTAAACCGACAATATTTCCTTCAGTTTAAAAGCGATCGACTTTATTCGTCTGTGTGGCGGCTCACGTTCTGCCATAGTTACATCGAATATTGTAGCCAATGAGGCCAATTATATAACTCGGAATGGCTTCTGAACGCCTTTGTATGGATGGTTAGCTCAACGCTTGCACGCCACACCCTACAACTGGCATTTTCCAATGTCACCAGTGGGGATGGCTTGCACACAAGAGACGCCACACCCTACAGCTGGCATTTTCCAATGTCACCAGTGGGGATGCATTTTTTCTTTCACATCCTAGCAGTAAGTTCGGCAAACTCTGCACACCTTACATTCCCGTTTTCCACAATCGGACATTCCCTCGACGCACAGCGTGTAGCGAAATTTTCTAATCATCGCTCGTCTGATACGGCCATCAAGCGACTGCAATGAAAAGGCTATACTTGGTAATAGAACTAGTAGTTTTATGCCCCCATTACGGTTGGATGCTCAGTGCTGCCAACCGATATGTGGGGCATCTTACGTTGTCGTTAAAGTGTGTCAATTCGGGATGTAAAAAATTATGGCAGACCTAATGGAGGAAAAGAACACCAGTCTCGTCCTCTGTATCTCATTGTAAACTACACCTTTCACAACCCTATTCGTCAAAAATTTCGCAAAGACACAACAGTCAACTGTAAACTTAGAGGCCATCTACTCTGCTACAGTGACTGCAACGCATCTTTTTGGTTTATTGATTTTCTGCGCATTATCCCCAGCACAACTGTGACAACTCAGAGCACCACCCACCTCCAATCGGCTCAGCTACGTAACAGTTTCCATACCAGTTTTCGCTATGTGGACAGTCGTAGTGGATTCGGTTTTTACAGCTGCAGACGTATAGAAATCGACTGACCTTAACTACATCTGGTTGAGTTATTAGTTTAAAATGGAGGCATATAAAATGCCCCATTGTAACAACGCGTAAAAGAACAAACTAATCGCAACACCGAAGGCGGAGATAGTTTATGATATCGTGTAAAGCATCTGTACGTCCCTCAGGAGAAATCAGACTCTCACACAACATCTATCGAAACGACTCAACTTAACGTTACAGAAAGAGTGATGTGTCCCCCATATGGCTGCATAGTGTGCGGGGAGGCGACAAACAGAAATAATTATCCAGATACGGACAATCGAACTGGATTGCTGAAGCATACGCGTTAACAGGCAGACTTATCACTAAATCTCGTACGTTACTGCTGAGAATGCTCTGGAATGGATCACAAATTTCGCTACCGTCCGTTAGCAGACGACAGCTTCTCAGCATCCCCCGACCGCAACAGAATATCACCAAACACTCAGATTCTGCGTAGTCAAAACGACAGCAAACGAAGCTCAATGAACAAGGAACCAGGCGCACATACAGAAAAGAGTGGAATTCAAAATAGTATTATCTTGAAACCGTGAATAATAACCGGGTTAGGGCTAACGAGCGGAAGCACCGGCATATGGATACGCACAGGTCATATGAAAGCACGGGCGGTTGTGGTTAGGTGGAGTGACCGAGTGGAGCAACAGGTAGCACATATTGCCTGAACCAATCAACCTTTGATGACCCCGATGGGACGAAGCTTCAGGACTTTGTTACTAATGCCCGCAGCCTGACCTATAATGGGAGCGAAGTGAGAAGAAGCGTGATTGATACCAAGCTGCAAAGTAAGCGACTAATATGACATTTGAATTGAACACAGAGAAATGACCGTTCTAAGCAGCGAAAGGAAACATCAGAAATAGAATAAAATTAGAGCGTAAAAGTCCAGCTTGTCGAAAGCATTAGCCAGCTCAGCTAATGACGGGACCGACAACTTACTAATAGTCGAGAATTCATCGCGATCCATTGCACTAGAAGAGGGCCCAGCGCAATAGTGCATGGGGTGAAACGCAAAATATGGTTCAGCCCTCCAGAGACTGTGCGTCTGAGTGCACATGCCAACGGTGTGGTGTGCTATCGGAATGCTGAGTAAGTAAACGATGCACTCAAAACTTTCATTTCGTTGGTGTTTCCTGCGATACTTCATTATCCTGAGATTTCAGTGACGTGTAAATCCAAGTGAAAACACTGAATCTGATAGAAACCAAATTTTCAGAAGTTAGCCTAGAAGGGTCGTGCAGTTAAAAATGGACCAAATGTCTACTCCTGTTTCAAGACCGAGTGAGTAGCAAAATTATTCCAACACCAAAACTTACAAGTGTTAACAACGTCTGTGACGTTTTTGTAGGATTCCGGTGCTTCTTCCATTACCAACTTCGGAGAAGCTACACGTATGGAGATACCCTTAGATTGTAGATCTGCCAAAACGTCAGTGTAGTCCAAATTGCGGCGAGATTTAGCACGCGAGAGCGCGCGGCCCTGAAACATGGGGAATTTAGCATCGAAGTACTTCAGAAGTTTATTAAAATCTCGGGAAGAGAAAAGAGATGATGCCTTATAGTTTGATGGAGACGGTATCCAGGGAAGTGTCCAGTAAAATAAAATTGGGGGTCGCATAAACGGTCCTTCTAGCAGGTCTAACCCAACGACTAGATGTTTGTATAAAAAGCCTCTTCGAATAATTAACAATGCCCTTCTAACAGAGGAATGATAGCAACTAAACGAGCGGCTATCAGCGTTACATTTAGGCTAAGAAACATTACGCATACCCATGTCGTGACGCAGTAGTTGACGTGAAGTTACCGCAAATTTCTACTGACTAGTCAACGTTGCCCGACCTCGGTCAGCTGTTGTACCTCACAGCGCACATTCAAGTGAGCAATCTCCAGTGGAGACAACAGAGAATGCCTGCCTAAGGGGGTGCCGTATTAGTGGCGGCCTAATACAAATAATGTTCTCCGCCAGATCCTCACAGCGCGCATTCAAGTGAGCGATCTCCAGTGGAGACAACAGAGAATGCCCGCCTAAGGGGGTGCCCCATTAGTAGGGGCCTAATACAAATAATGTTCTCCGCCAGACTTGTGCAACGATGCCTTCGAAATCAAACAAGTAGGGGTAGACGTAACTGAAGACGATGAATGCTACAGCAGTGTCGTTAAAACGGACGCCGCAGGACCCGGAAGCTATTCTGATATCGGTCAGCTAGTCATGACGGCGTTCAGCACTGAGGAGCCTCACGGTGAACACAACTCTTGGAGAGTACCGGATCAGTCATCTGTAAACATAAAAATAAGCCACGTTCTCAAAATATGCACTACTTTACCAACTAATAAATACGAAACAAACTAAGGAGAACATACAGCACCATGGCATGTAGATCCAAACGTTTCGGTCATTGCTTGTTCTGTGCCTGTGAGTACGTATGAGCAAGTGCCCATCGTTCCACCAATCAACACGGGCTGGCCAGTCAACTGAAATTCAAGAAATATATGGAATCCCTATATTTCATGCTCACTAAGGAGAAGATCCACCAATAAAACCGTTCCGAATCAACGCTTGTGCATTCGATTTTGAAATTGGATTCGGAGGCTGATCCACTGAAGTGTGAGTTCGGTCCACACATGAAAACCAAGTTACACTATTAAGCCTAAGCGAGAAGGGCCGAATAAACAAGATTGCGGATAACCTTCTCAATCACCTGGGTTCGAAACCCACACAGGTGTCTCTATATTGACACTATGTTGACCCTTGTTATGATTGTCTGTGCGTATGATCCAGAAACAAAAGAAAAAAAACAAACTACAACCTCTCACAAGTCACATAACGTTGGCGTTTGAGTATCTTTCCAATGCTTGCAAGATTCAGATCCGGAACGCAGGTGGAGTCTTTACCGGTTGTAGTCCATTCTTGTGGGGGCAAGATGGCTCAAGTGGTTAGAGCGCGAATTTACCGACCGGACGATCCCCGGTTCGAACCCGACCTCGGCCTCTCGACTTCCCCTGTCTAGGCTTGGGCAACCTGGCAGTACCCCAACCCCTGTGCTTCCTTCGGGTGGCATGGTAGCTAGGGACCGAAAGGGTGCTATAGCTGAACTTTTTTTAGTTCATTCTCGTGGATAAAACAGTGTGACTGACTGATATCTACTCATTTGGGAACTTGAAGAAACGCGACAGTTTAATGAAAATAGCCCACCTATACCTTGGATCCTCATATTCATGTGATGATGTTAATCAATAGCAGTGGTCGGTGACAAACTAAGATAAAAGGACTTGGGTAGAAGAGCTCTCTTTGAACGTACGGTCAATCGCCTAATTACGTTCGAGACGCGTTTCCTAAGTCGGGTAAAGATTATATCTTGGTTAATTGGTCCCAACTACCGTTAGAAACATCGTTGAACATCCAGAATGTCGAGTCAGATATCAATAGGAATCAGAAGCTAGCGTTTGCTAGCCGCGCAAACACTAAAAAAGATCTCCCACGGTGAAAGTTATCGAGTTACGCATCCAAGCGCACTAAGCACGCCGCCCGCTTGGTCGTTGCGCGGTTGAATAAATACTTATCACGGGACTCGTTGTCAAGAGACACTTCGTAAATGTCTAAGATTAGAGTCGCAAACTTTGGCGAGACAATGGTGACTGGTAATCCAAGCATGAACCATAGTTTTCATGGTAGCAGGGAATCGATTAGTGTACACTATTGACGGATCTCTTGGAGCGTGGACGCAGTACAAGCGTCTTCAATATACATGATTTTGATCATCAGGGCATCCGGCTTTCACTCATACTCGTCATCAAACATTTTGACTAGCTTTAAACGCAGAAGATAGGCATTGCTGTATAATTGCTCAGTACTGTTTATGGTTTTCAAAATTAAGGTAGCCTGGTACCGAGGGAAGCGATAAATAAAACAGCCCGGATGCACTTGGTAGCTACAGATTCTGAGACCAATAGATTGCTAGACGTTTTGACACCAAGTCAGAGTCAGTAAATCAGGATGTTCAACTCCAGCCGCTTCATTGTAAAAACTCTGTCAGATATTCACAAAAACTGCTAGGAAGGCTGTTCCAGCTTCAAAGATAAGATTTAACAATAAATTAACTATGTAACGATAAATTAGACGGACAGCTAACCTGATAATCCACTGGTATCAAAGGATGATGGGGCGGGAAAGCACGAGTGGACCCTTTTCGGTGAACAAGGAGCGTTTTGATTTTACCATCCACCCAATGTTCCTCCACTTTGGCAATGTTGTGGGATACATCATAGATGATATGCATATCCAGATCGTCAGGAGTGGATTCGAAGATTTTCGCGAAAGCCTACAAAAGGAAAGTGTACCACCACTTAGCACAAAAAAGTGCATAGGGATGTACTCACTATCGGTGAGTGGCTAGCAAGCGTCGATAGTCGTAGTGAGTTGGCATAAAAATGCGCAGCGAGCAATATAATGTCCAACAATATTTGTGCAAGCACATGCCTGCCTTTTAGACCTGATTCTGCCATAAAACTGCGGTTGATCGGAAGTACAAAGCTTTAGCAAATCCAAGATCCATGAGAATCGCCTACCACACCACCTTCACCTAACCCCTTACTAAATAGCGGACTCATCATTGAAAACAGTGGTTCCTCAGCGTCTGTCTCGGGAACTGTCTAGGAAATCATCTTATCACAGAAAGGTGCTCATACTGAAAGGGGGGAAGCAATCCAGGGAAGTTCTGTCCTCAATGAGTGTTAGACGATGAAACCATCGTTCTACATCAAAACCATTGTGATACGTTTTTGAAAAGCCACTGACTAGAGAATAGGGAAGGATCCAGGGATGCCTACACAAAAATTCCAACATGAAATACAAATTCAGATGACCTAAGTAGAGACTGATAACAGAAGGCACTAGTTTTGAAAAGGTAAGGTAAGGACCTATGGGGGGAGGGCGAGCTAAAGAGTTCAAACGAGACGTTTCGTAACCACCTAGACAAATGTCTGCTCATCTACTGCCCAAATCGTGACGTGGGAGCACCGAGCTTCGAACTCTATGGAACAAAGTAAAACTTTATAGGTGCCCGGAGAGCCAACAAATTCAATTTGTTATCGAACGGTTTCGACCGCGCCATCAAAGACAAATCAAACACATGAGCTCTCTGGGTAGATGACTTGCTTGCGCATGTTATTTAAGATAGTAGTGAGTGCAATATGAAAAAACAAACAAGAGACACTCAGGGATGAACAAGAATTAACTAACCGTTACAGCTCATAAAGGATCTAGTGGGGAGGCAGAGCAGAGTAAGCGGTTTCGAGAATTTGGTGGAGACATAGGTGAACAGAGGTAACAACAATGGATAGTTTAGTGGTGTATTAAAGTGGAAAATACAAACACACCTGACGAGCGAGAAAAGTCATTGAGGATCGATTGACCCAAGCATAGTTCGCTGCTGCAGCCATCGCCTTAAGGTAGTCTTGACCTTCTTGCGAATCCACGCGGGCGCACGCCAACTGCCGATCGTTGACCTCGATTTTGTCACGTTTCATTGCGCGCTCCATTGCAACCAGCGCATCAGTGGCCACCTATGCGAAAAAATTAGTAGAAGCCAGAATAGGGAATGCATAAGAACGACTAAGTGCGAGTCCCTCACGAAAAAACTGGATCTTATCGTGGTGCGACGGTCTGCGTACCTCAGCAACTCACTGAGCTGTTCTGGAGGATGCCCATTTATCATAAAGAGCCTCTCCTGCCAGATTGGTTAATGGGACTAAGATCTAACACAGTCGTCAGACACTTCGGGTTTGGGACTGGAACAGAAGCTACAGTTCCATAAAATGTGGACTACTTGAGTAGACGAGCAGCAGTAAACCTAGCTGTATCTCGGCCCACTTACAACCACGAACATCGCAAATAAGAGTACTTTCATGCCTGCTCGAGATTAGCTCTCATTAGGGCTATCTATTGTTTAGCTGTAGCACCCTTTCGGTACCTTACTGACGTACCACCAGAAGGAGGCACGAGGGCTGGGATACTGCCAGGTTGTCCTAGCCTAGATAGGGGAAGTCAAGAGGTAGAGGTCGGGTTCCAACCACGGGCCTTCCGGTTGGTGAATTCGCGCTCTAACCACTGAGCCACCCCACCCCTACATCTCCGCATCTCCTTGACCATGTCGGGATTTAAGCTCCGGTCATTGTGATTACCATATCACTCCGCGCATACAGGTTGCACCTGGATTTTCACGTTTGAACGGACGAAAGTGTTTACGCTTGTGACTGGTTTGGCGAGCGAACCAACTAGCAACTGTCCCGCGTGCTTACCATGACAGAGAGAGGACTGTTGAAGATAGTGATGTGAATGCAATTGATGCGAGCTTTGTTGCGCGAAATCCGAATCTGTACAAAGAAACTCAATCAACGTATACCACCATGGAAAAGGGCAACAAAATGGTAAATACTAGGAGGATGTGCATCGGTTCGAAAGGTCTTGAGCGTATATTTCTTCAAACCTGTGGGAGCTGTGCATCACTCGTAATTCTCTGGTCATGAATCGAGCGTTTGTTTACCGTCCATAGTCACTAAAAGCACGACAGGCATTTTAGTTCCTATCTGGACAACCATATGTCTACCAACGGAATTTCAATATAGTATCGATGTGTTCCATTTTTCCCCTGCTTTCTTACTCGACGGAGGGTGCCTTGGTAGCCGGAGGCTGTCCATTCACTCATAATTTCCTGTAAAAAAGAATACCGCATCGGTGGAGAGTAGCGGAAAAAAGCCATTCAGTGACAATACTTGGTGCAACTGAAAACTACTTAGCATCACAACTGTCCGTAGTTGTCTGCATGTATTGGCGACTGGATCTACGGATGCGGCTTTGATCCTGGGGAGGACAACAAAAAATTCGAATCTGCAGTTGGGTTGCACGAAGTATACAGAAGTTCTAAGAGTTCGACAACTCACACTAGATACTCAAACGTCAAAACAACAACAGAGTTGCTGCTGACTTGCAAAGTAACAGAACTTCGGGGTGTCTTCAGTGTTCAATGCAGAAAAAAGTTACACATCTTACGCCATGAAAAGGTAAAAAAAAGAGAAAAACAGGTCTTTCAATGCCTGGACCCATGGCCACTGGGTCGCACAGGTAGGGTGTTAAAACAGGCTAAAATTGGGGTTATGTATTTGTACAGGACGTTACACCATTGAACGAAATAGAGTACTCAGCTGCTTCTCTGGATGTGTAATTTATTCAAGCAAACGATGAAAAAACCAGAAGTGAAGACATTGAATTATTCTTAACTGAACGACAAACGGAAAAAAAACGGAAGAATCACAGGGAAGCATACGTACACGAGAAGCAAGCCACTACTAGATCGCTGAAGAAATGTTCACACCATAGTGTACGAGAAACTGACCTGGTGTCCCATACCACGACTGCCGCAATGTATCATCAAGACAACTTGATTGAGTTGATCGATGCCCATTTTGGTCGCGGCGTGTTTGTCGAATATTTCCTCCACCACTTGGATTTCGGCGTAGTGATTTCCGGCTCCAAGTGTGCCCAGTTGAGGAAGTCCACGCTTCTTTGCCCGGGAGGAGACTTTACTTGGATCTGCTTGAAGCATTCGACCATACTCTTCACAATGTTCTTTGTCGTCAGCCCAGACGTAACCTTTATATATATATATATATTAGCAGAAAAGCGAAACATTAAATGAGCAATCAAATAATGGGCTGCAAAAAGTCATAGGCTGTTTAATAAAGTCCATTGCATGATCGCAGTACCCCATCAATTCTGGATTACCTTCTGTGGACCGTACAAAAAAGTCTCTTGATTACAGAATTTTTAATATCTGCAGACATCCATCATTCTTCACTGCTTGATTACGTATCATGACATACGTCGAAATTCGCTACTTTAGGGTGTATGTTCCGCAAGGAATCACTCCTATAACGACAAGTGTCTTAGTTCCCACTACATAAAATGTCAACAACGAACACATTGTCCTGTCACGCCGGAATGTACTATTACCTCACCAAGTTCCTTTCCAACCACACTACACATATCCCTTAGCCCCTTGTAGTTGTTATCTCAGTGCACCACTGAACGCCAATATACCACACTATATGTTATGAAGACCCTGAGAACGAAAAGCCTTGCCATCATTGAAAGCTTGCGAACGAGATGATCCACTCATTTGGGACAAGATCTTCATGAGAAGGGACACATATAAACCAGAAAGCAGCAGAGAACCATCCAGATAAGCGCAAGAATTTTCACCGAATATATTGTTGGGCCTGTGACTTGCAGGCGTTCAGAAACAATCAATACATTACTGAGGCTGGTATTGAGCACCATTCATTCACGTGACAAGACGGACCAACTAGCGGACAGCTGCCAAACCATCCGTTCTGACCCATCCTCGCCATAGACGGTAGTCTGGTCGTGTAGCCTCCGGGCAAGAAAGCGTTAACAAGCCATGACTCCGTGATAAGGACGAAAGGCTTACAGGTGAGACGATCGTTGTACAGCGGTCGGATGCAGAGAACACACTGCAAACAAGAAATTCAGGATCTGCTGCTCAAAACGCATGGCGAACTCTCCAAAAAGGAAGCCACTATTCTTGCAAATACTCTGTTCTGTTAACGGATCCCTATAAGGTATCGTAGGTATCATACTAAAGTAAGATGACTTCTCAAATACGATCATTAAGCCGTGTTCCTCGAGGTAAAGAAATCAGGACGACGTCATCCAGGGAGCTAGCCTGTGCCGAAGTGATATGACGCCCACTTAGCTCACGGGTTTAAGAACGGTAACATCGGATCTTGATAGGTTATCGCAATGGGCATCAGCAGCTGATGAATTATTGCGTCAATCTTAACAACAAACGACAAAACCTATTGTATTAACAGACTCATGTCTAATCATAACGCACGACAGATCAATTCGGAATCACTGGTTTCTAGATACTGACACTAGCCTTAGTTGATGCATGTCTCCAAAGTGCAAATGATAAATAGAAGGCTAATGTGTTACTAACCTTGTCTTAACGACCAATCCATGCCCATTTCCAACGCCTCTTCCAGTGCTTGCGCATCCATGGGAATCACGCCTTTAGAACCCACACCGACAGGGATGTGGTCAAACAGTGTTTGTGTTAGCTTTTCTTTCACAGGAAGGACTTGTTTGAGTGTTAGGTTGGTACGCAGAAGGCGTACACCGCAGTTGATGTCAAAACCAACACCCCCAGGAGAAACCACAGCATTCGGATCTGATAAATCAAATGCAGCCATGTTGCCTGAAGACAAAAGACGGGTAATATATGATAGGCATTAACAGGTCGTTACATGTCCCCTGAAATGGATATACAAAATTACTCACGAAATCGTAGGAATGTAGCTCATTTTTCCCCCGCAAGGAGCTCAGGGAAATTGACTCTAAAATCACAGTATCTGAAGAGTGAATGGTATCATCATTCTACCATAGACAACAATATCAGCGTTAGCATCCAAATACCTATCACTGAAGGCTAAAATCGAAAAAGCCTATGGTGGAAGTATTAACAAAAAAGGGTATGATCTGGTGCCACTATATCAAGCAGTCCGCTATATAAACTAACCGCACGAAAGTCATTGGCTTTCATCAACGTCCAAAGCTCTGATCAAACCAATATGCAAAGAGGGGTAGAAATATTAGGCACTGTACATCATTATGATGCGTCGAAAGATAGCTGAAAAGCGGGATCATCAGGACGTGCTTATATTCCCAAGAAGTCAGCAAAAAGAAGCCTTTCATCCGGGTAGTCAGGTGACCGGTCGCGAAGTGCTTCGGCTGGTAGTTACGGGCTGTTGCATGCAGCTGGCTTGGTAAGAATGAACATGCCAAATAAGTTACCGAAACTTACCTATGGCAAATCCATATCCAGAGTGAACATCAGGAAGACCGACGGAGCGCTAGATGGGAAATTGAGAAATAGTCATATTTCTGATTGCGACTGTAGCTTAGGACATAAATACGCCAGCTTAATGTAACAAAAAGAAACCGGTCATTTTCACGGCAGTAATCACCCGTATTGGACGTGCGTG